ATTCTTTTGCTTCTAGAAGTTCAAGACATAAGATAATTTGGAGTTCATTGATATGAACCAAGATGTTTCCTGTTTACTTCATTTGCAATATTCTATATGTGATTACACATATAGACTCATATTGTTTATCCTGAACAATTTTCCCACTACATTTTAGATCTTACCTTATTCTCTAAAACAAAGTCCCTTAACTAAATATCCAGTTAATTTGTTTCCAACTCTTCAGTAGATTTTTGCACATTTTAGTGTGTAAAGACATCACTACCATTCATAGGCAAACAGTAATATTTCTACTTATTATTTTTATTAATGCTATTAATTAAATTTTTATGAAGTGCAGTATAGTAATTCAATACATTTATATAGTGTATAAAGATCAAATTAGAATAGTAAACATTTCCATATTGAACGTAAATAAAATATTTTTGATCCACACATAAAACTTATTCATATCTGTGAGGTATAATATAAATCAATAATTACTCATTAAAGATAAATTATCTTAAAGTGTGTTTTATGTGTTTGCATATTTATTTGATTGTACATTCAGATAGGCTTTCACTATGTAGCTGAGGCTGGCTTCGTATTTCCCATTCTTCTGTCTCAGTGTCAAAAGTACAGGTATCAGAGGCACAACATGTCATACTGGCTTATAGTTATTCATTTGCTCATTTTATTTAATTGCCACGCTAGGAGTTGTACCAATAATCTCTTGCATGATAGGCAAGAACTCTACCACCAAGTGTTCAAAAGAGTTTTTGACTTTTAATTATATGATTTTTGTATCTATTTAGAATCTCCCTTTATTAATTTCTACTTTTATTTCACCTACAGTGCCATGTTTGTGAGAAGAATTATGAAGTGCATTAATAGAGTACTTTATCATCTAATACCCGATCAATTTTGCTAAACATTCAATATGCAGTGGGCTACAGTGGTACCTTCCAACTGAACTGGAACTAGGTCCTCTGCCCTCTGCTCCCTCAGTAAGAAATTCTTGTAGCACTGAATGCTTCCTTCTGAGATTTCATAATCATCTCAGCGCTCTTAATCTTAATCCTATCTACTATAGAGACTTTTGTGTAGACACAAGCTCGGTACACAAGGCATGCTGCTATTTATGCTGTTGTTTCTAATGAAAACACACACGTTTCAAACTAAAATGATGACTGTTCATAAAAACTTTATTTTTTAAAGAAGTAAAAAATAAAATCATGAAAATGGTCCTCAACTAAATATAATATTCAGTATTATGTAATATTTAAAATTTTTCAGACTTGAAGATAATGACTATATTGAGAGTTAATCTACAGTATTATCCTTCAGGGCTCATTTCTTTTACCTACTAGGTTCTTTAAAGAAACAGAACATATATATATATACATATATATATATATTTGATCACAAATTGTATTAATGCCATATAATGGTATTAATTCCATATATACTGGTATTATATATGTGCATATATAATAATATATATGCAATATATCATCTATATAATACATATTTGTATAAATATATGATACATATGTATATATATATACATATGTATATACACATACACACATATATACATATGTGTATACACATATGTATACACATATGTATATATATATTTGTATATATATATAGTGTTTATTAGAGGGGCTCACACTCTGTGGTCCAGCTAGTCTACTAATGGCTGTCTATTTTCTACTAATGGAAAGTCCAAGAATTTAGTAGTTGTTCAGACCACAAAGCTGTATGTCTCAAGCTGATCTTCAGTATACACAGGAATCCTGAAGATAGACTCCAACAGAAGTTCCCAGCAAGAGTGAGGGTAAGCAGGCAAAGAGAGCAAGCTTCCTTCTTCAGTGTCTTTCATAAAAGTTGCCCCAAGAAAGGGCGGCCCAGATATAGACTTCTGGATTTAAAGTGAATCTTTCTACCTCAAATGACCCAATTAATTAAAAGTCCCTCACAGGTGGTGCCCAGACACTTGGGCGTTTCCTTAGTTCCAGATGTAGTCAAGTTGACAACAAATGCTAGCCATCACTTGTATAATCCTAGATTTTTTTTTCTGCCAAACTCTTGAAATATAGTAGATGAGAAAATTTCTCTTGTTTTGTGTAGTATATAGTCTAGAGGATGAGAGGGGGGAAAAATGTCAGTCCTAATATCCTAGCAAGAGATTAAAAACAGCACTTATCCAAATTTTTTAAAATAAATAAATAAATAAATAAATAAATAAATGATGGAGTCTCTTTATCCAGAGGATTTCTCTTTTCTTATTCTCATTGATGTATTATTTATTTCTTTATAATATAAAATAGTATGAGCATGATAATAACTTAGTCCAACAATACTGAATTATTCTAGGTTAAAAATAAGATCTATTTTCTCCTTCTAGACCAAGTCTCCCGAAGTGCTCACATTTTTTGTTCCTCTAATGTCAAGCAAAGTAATTTTAAATCACAGTCACATCTCCTTCCTTTCCTCAATTTTTATCGTATGAGACTTATTACCAAGCGGTGATGTAAGACGAGGAATCTAATTAGCGCTTCTCCATCCCCACTGAGTTTGTTTCCTATTCTCACTTTGCTTATTGCTTGTGTACCTTTAAGTAATGCAATTAAATCCCCATTGCTCATCTCAACGAGCCTAGATAATAAGGAAAGTGGGTTTTTTAAATCGTATGATGAATTAAACCCAAAACATATCCTGGCTTGATAACTTGGCAAATCTACAAACAGCAAGGAGTGTAAAGCATGGTCAACAGAGTGTCGTTCATCTGAGGCTTCTTTACTTTACACACCCAGAGCCTAGTTTTGAAATACTGTGGACAAGAAAAGAGGTTTCATCTCTCCAATAGTCAGAGATGATTGAGAATTCTTGGGTATGTGGGTTAGATTGTAGAGGGTCATAAGTTTTTAAATGCCTTCCTAGGTCTTCTAGAATGACACTTACAGAAGCTACTGAAAAATTAATTAGTGGAATAGAAGCAAAGCAGTTAAACTATGATCTCGTGGTGATGCAATTTCTCTTCAGATCTGACTAAAAGATGCTGTTTAAATACTAAATAACAATGATAGATCCTTGGACTTCCTTCGCTTTGGAGGAAAATACATTATTATATATGAACTGAGCTTACTGTTGTAAAGAGATGGTGTGTAAGAGAGGGACGGGAAAAGAAACAGAGATAGAAAGTTAAATGTGGGGAGAGGAAAAGGGGGATTGAGGGAGGGAGTGGGGGAGAAAAGTAAGAGAATTCTAGAAGAAAACGTTCTGTATGTATGCTGGAGTGAGAAAGAATAATCACTTGGGTTTAATAGGGCAGTTATTATACTGAGGTGATATATCCATGGTTCTGAATTCACATTAAGAAGAAATAAAATGTTACTAAACTATTGATCACAATATCTCATTATTTATAGGAAAATACAGGGATACCACTTAGAGGATATATAAATAACTATATAGACCCTGAGATCTATGTGAAGTCGGTCAATAATTATATTTGATTCCTACGATTTTAATAAAAGAGTATTGCCTGTGGTTATTTAACATGGCTGTTCATTTTAAATGTAAGCCACCACCATGCAATTTCCACTGAGAATTTAAACTGCTGGATTTGCCGAAGAGTACATGGCATAGTTCAGTGTTCTTCGTTTCAGAATAAATTGCATAAAATCATGGTGAAGTTCTTCCTCAGACACTGAGAAAAAATTTATTTCCCTTTAGCTTTACCATTTATATATTTTGGCTAAAAGTTGAAAAACCCTAATGTTTCCTGAACTATGTTCCAAGAGCATTATTTCAAGGAGACATTAGTGAATGTTTTCTGAATGCACATAAAACAAAATACCATTTTCTTGGTGTCACTATGAAAAGCAGTGGAATTCATTAATTCCCTGAGAAGGCTTCCCAGAAATATTATGTTTTCAAAACTTTATCTAGTGTAGCATTTCCCAAGCTGATCTGTAGAGGAAGGTTTTCAATGTTCTCTATAGCGCACTGATTTCCCATGTAACTGAGCCATGTCCAGTTGTGTCTCCTTTGCTAGAGTGACAGAGGTAAGAGGCTGCCACACAGCCCTCTTGATGTCCAGAACCAACACGTACTGCTTGGTCCCTTTAAAAAACGTGTTTATATCCTTTTTAAAGGATTTATTTATTTTAACGCTTATGTGTATTGAGTGCTTGCCTGCATGTTTATAACCATACTGTGTGTGCAATGCCCACAGAGTCCAGTAGAGGGCATTGTAGGCCCTGCAACTGAAGTTACAGAGCATTATGGGCTGCCTTGTGGGTGCCAGGAACCTCTGTAAGAGAAGCCAGTGCTTCTACCTCTTATTAATCAACCTAGGCTCCTTCACTGCACCAGTACAGCAATCTTAATAACTCAGTGGATACACCTGAACATCAAACTGAGGAACAGTAACTTAAAGACATCTGCCAAAATCCTAAACAGAATATTCTCATAACCACTATTAATTTAGTAAACCCAATTGTAATATGTACTTTATTTTAACGACACAGAAATGAGTGGCGTGGCTTTGTTTTCTATTGAATTAAAATATGTTTTGAGTGTATCCCCCTATATTGCTATAATTATTTGGATAAAAATATTATTTAAGGAGGAAAGAGTACAAAGACTAAAATCTATTCTAAACAGAGAACTCACATGAGGAGCTCTTTAATGCCTTTATATTTTGCTTAAGTCCTCTAAGCAGCTTAACACTGTAATTTTCTTCCCTGGCTTCCTCCTGGGAGAATCCTTTAGATAAAGTTTTGTGCATATAGCTACTACAGGCTTTCATTTTGAGTGTGAGAGAGGCTCATTTCCTCTTCAGATTTAGAATTAGTGAGAGGAGGTGTCAAATTATAAGTCTAAGCAATTTCATTTCAGTGCCTGTGTAGTAAACATCTAGCTGTCCAAATTCAAGCAAGCATCCTGGTGTCAACTTCCCCTGAAGTACGAGTGTGAAGCACAGCTAAACACTCTGAATTTTCTTTCAGGAAGAACTGAACCCTATTTTGGTGACCCCACCTATCCAAGCCATTGATCAGGACCGAAACATCCAACCACCATCTGATCGACCTGGCATCCTCTACTCCATCCTTGTCGGTTTGTATCCGCCAAAAGTTTATCCTGTTAGAAATCTGTGAATGAATCCTCTCAAACCACACCAAGCTCTTTAATAACAATATTTTTTTTACTGGAATTAACATATGCAAAAGTAGATATAAATCCAAGTTTTCCTTCTCCCTGTTTCAGTAAGATGTTATAAAACAGGCAATCTCGCCTTTACAAAACAAACAAGATACAGATCCCCTTAAAAAAAACATTCTTCAGTGATTCTGAAATCAAAGGAAATATGGGGTTTGTTGAAGCTTGTGGACGAAGGAATGGACTACCAACCGAGAGGAACATGTTACAGAAACCCATGGCCCATTTTTCCTCTGAAAATACATGAAAGTTAATCCATTTTATACAGGTTATCAATTGTACAAGATGCAAAAATGAAGACAATTTGACAAAGCCATTCCTAAGTTACTTTGATAAAATGTAGATGTTGCTGATTTGCATGAGTGATAGGCTCTGGAAAGACAGGTGCATGGGAGAAACCAGCATCTCTCAAGTAGGAAATGCTGACTTTGAAGTCTCCTCAGTAGAGTCCAACATTATCTTCCAGTCCTGATCTCTGGCTTTGCCTCCAGCCTGTGTGCTCACATGCGCAAACCACCACACTAGAGATTCTAGACAATTTTATGCTGTCATACTAAGAAGCGATATATCTAAAATTGGCCCCATAGTTCTATTCCAAGAGTTTCAGTCTTTAGAGCCATGTGTAAAATACCGGCCAAATACAAGAGTCTGACCATTAAATTATTATTTTTTTAATCCCTGTGAATTAAAAATTGTCTTTTAAAGCCTATAGTTTTCTCGTTATAGATATCAAGGAATATTTTATATATTTGCTCCACTAATTAAATGACAATTATGAAATATGTCCATCTATACTGTAAATAGAGAGGGGAGAGGTAAATACTCCAGACTAAAGAGAGGGTAAGGGGGTACAAAGGTATCAAAAAGGCAGAATTAAAATATTCTGAGGGTGAGGAAATAAATATTTCTGAAAGAGCTGCCCTAAACCCAAGAGAACCAGTGTCTGCAGGAGGAAACCAGTAGATTTATTGCTGTACGGTCAATGTCATCGACTGAGCCAGCCTCTGGCGCCTTGAACTGTTATTGCCTACAGTGTGCTTATCACGACTTTCAGTAAAGGCAATAGAAAAAATATTGATGAATTGACAGGAACGATGCCCCAGAAGATCATTTGGAGCATAAGCAGAAACAATAACTAAAGACAAGCTCTTCTTTAAAAAATTGGAGCCTCATTGATCCTTAAATGGGTTAATGTTTTTATGGGTGTAAAACTCAAAGAGATTGATTAATGGGGGGTGTCTTTTGTGCGTAACACTGGTAACACTAGAAATATGCATTTTAGTCTCACTTTGAATTAGGGGCTCCCTGGGAAACATGCAAATTTAGAGTTCTGTTAGTAAATACAAAATGAGATTTTCTGCTAAAAAATGTTTCCATAAGAAAAAAAAAATATATATATATGATCTTTTTAAATTTGATTTGATTTTCTATTCATTATTTCAATAATTATGAAATTTTACTTCTGGTTAAGGCCTTATGTTAGACTCTATGCTGAGTTGCAAGTTTAGATGAAAGAGTTAGTTTCTTGTGGATGAAATTAGGAAATACTGTCCTGTAAAGACCTTTGAAGGTTTAACTCCTCCTGATTGGATGAATATCCCCAAAGAGTCACATGGAAAGCCTTAATGTCTGGGATGGTGGCATGATTGGTGCAAAGTGGCTCAGTGGGTTCCTTAGATCACCACAGACATGCACAGGAAGGAGACTGAGGGACCTTGTTTGTCTTCTTTCTGTCACTCACTCTGATTTGCATTTCCCATCTGCCACTCATAGAAGGGGCCTAAAGCAATGGGCCAAGTGACCTTAGACTTGACCCTCAGTAACTATGGTTATTTTTGAAATAAGTAGTCTATCCCAGATATTTTATCATAGTGACACATTGGCTAACTAATATATCCCTCCAAAAACAGAAATGGAGAGTAAAGAAGAACGAAACACGCAAAAGGAAAAGAAATGAATGGAAAAGAAACCCCAAATCAATTTTATCAGAGCAAAAAATTACCTATGGTTCTACATTTCTTACTGAATATGTAGGCAAAGCAGCTAAATCTTGATAATGGCGGTGACCTTTGAGCTCACCATGCCCTGTAGCAGAATGATTCCTCAATACAACTTGTCAGCCATTGCAATGAACACAGTCAAGCCAGAGATCTCTCGGGGTCTTCTTTACCAAAATTGTAGTACTTTGACCTTTCCAGGGGCTCTCTAGAAGCATCATTAAAAAAGGGTCTCTCACGTTACCAAGGGCATTTGTCAAAACACTTGCAGCAAGTGCCTTGGCTTTGTGACTGCCTAAGACATTGGGGAACAGTTAAGGAAAATTGTAAATAAGTAAAAAGTTTGAAGGATAGACAATAGAATCCACTGGGGATGTAAAAACTTCCACATGTCTCTTGGAATCTAGAGCAACCCCAAGTCTTAGGCTGTGTATAGATAAAGAAAAAACTTGGGAAGGTCTCTGCCCTCTTGCTGACCTGCAGACATCACCCTAAAATAACACAGCAACTGACATGATCTTCCTTTGAGAAGGCTCTCCAGACAACAAGTCTGAGGAGTAAAGATACTGCTACTCACTCACAGAGAGCTCTCTGGAAAAGCTAGAAAGTGTGTTGGGCACTGTGTGTAAAACAAAAGAAAACAAAACAAAGTCCCATGCAGTCTTTCAAGTCCATGTGACAGAGTATAACCTTTATACTTTTATAATTTAGAAAACACATAAGGCAGATATAGGCAGATATGTCCAGCAGTACATCAACACAGAACATTAATATGACATCTTCAGTTCCCATATAACACAATTTACAATGCACAGATATGAGGGAATCATATTAAACAAGAGAAAATGTAGGTAGAAAATCAAGTCAAACATTGGTTTCCTCAGGAAGACCAAACCTTAGCCTTCTGAACAAAGACTTTCAGTCTCCTACTTATGTCTGTGAAATGCTAAACGGAGGTGCATACAAAGACATAATAGAAAGCAGAGGGATGATGTCTGAACAAACACAGAATAGCAACAAAGAAACAGCCATCCTAAAAGAAACTAGACAGAAATGTAGAAGTGTCACTGAAATTAACGTTTCACTAACGCTTATAAAGAGCACCTTCAACTGAAAAGAAAAATGCAGCAGGTTCTGAAGAGAGACTAGTTAATGTTAAAAAATCCAAATCAAATCATTGTCTATAAACCGCTCTTCTCTCGAGTTAGAGGAAACAAAACAGTCTTCTCAGTGTCAACTAGAGAGCTTGCTCTGCTGTATAGATCATTATAAGCTGAAAGTAAGGCTAATTAAGTGGGTGATTATTGAAATTATACAAACTATATTCTTTGACTCTAGATGGATTTCATTGTACCTTAGATAACACATCAAACACAAAACAAAACAGAAACTCTAACAAATTACCATAAAATTGATGTGCCAGATGAATTAAACCAGCTTGATATATTTCAACTTCTTTTTACCTTACAGGTTTTTTTTAACACCATATTAATAGCAACAGTTCCCTTAGTCACATCAAAAACAGTTTATAGAAATTATCTAAAAATATTGCTCATTTCAGGCCATGGCCAGGGAGTAGGTGTTCTGTCTTCCTGTATCACTGAGACTCCATACAACACATGACATTAGATGGTCACTAATTTTTGCATACAAATACATTGAATGAGAATGTTGAATTGGTATGTGAGGTTCATGGAAATGGTTATCAAACACTTTACCAGCACTGTCAATAAGATCAGTGTCCTGGCATAATGACCACCAGGAGTAATTATCACCAGGAGAAATAATTACCATCAGGAGAAAAGGCAAATTAAAGCATGTTCATTCTTTGAACATTCAGTATGTGTATAAACATGTGTCTAAAGACCATGTGACATCCTTCAGGTACAATTCTTTCTGTAGGTGCTGGTTAGCAATAGCAGGATGCACTGGACCTGAGACAGGAGATTAATCATAAACAGCAGTAAAAAGGGACCTTCCAAACCTCTTCCTAAGCAGAATAACCCACTGACTTGTATGGAAATATTGTGTATATGTGAGAGTTTCTTGCTTCTAAGCATGTTTCTAGGTTTTCTCAAATGGTAACTATCATGTATCATTTTAATGTCATTAACACAGGCACCATAAGCTAGAAGCTTACTTCTAAGTAGTGTGAAAACCTCCTGATTTTTGCTATCGTATGAACAGTAATTGTGACTCATATAATACATATTAAATATCACTTAGGTATGTTATAATCTAAATTACAATATTGTTAAAATATATTTTTCTGGCTGGTCATGGAGTTATGACATATGATAATATTTTAAATATTATGGCACCTAAAATGTTGGTTTTTGTATACTAGCTAAGGATGAAAAGAGTAAAGCTAAAATCCTTATTTCAAATTTGTTTATAAACCTTCATGAACTTCTAATAAGTATCCTTAAGCATTACTTTGTCACAGCAGTATGTATGTACACAGGAATAGTCACAGAAATGTGTGGATTATCAAGTATATGTTCATTAAAAAGTGGAAGAAAATGTCTCAAGAGACATCCTATATTGTATTATAGAGTCCACAATTATGAAGGGGAGAGGCCAGGTTTTACATTATTTTTGCTTGCCTGCTTGCTTGCTTGCTTGCCTGGTTGCCTGCCTGTCTGCTGCCTGCCTGCCTGCCTGCCTGTTACCTGCCTGCCTGCTGCCTACCTGCCTGCCTATTGCCTGCCTGTCTGCTGCTTGCTTGCTTGCTTGCTTTTTCCTTACATGGTGCAAGACATCTTAGAAATGAATCATCCTCTGTGTATTGGCCTTTCAAACGCTATGTAATTTACACATCATCTATAATATATCTCTATCATACTTTTTTCTTCTCTGCAACATAGTTCACTGGGACAGATGAGCAAGACATTAGAGATA